CCTTTACCCCTTCCCGGGGGTTGAGTACTCTGGTGATCTATTGTCTGACTTCATTCAGGACGGAGAGTTAGACCTATCGGCGTATGATAACCTTCTGCCGCCTGGGTTGGAGGCTGACATGTCCCTTCTGGGTCAAAGAGTAGCTGACATCCCTATTTGGTGGGTGGCTACGGACGGTTTGTTTTCTTTTTCCTCTGCAAAATCTTTATTCAGACCTGAATCGGTGCAGTCAGATCCTCTTTTGAGTGCATGTTGGCTTAAGTATTTGCCCTTTAAGGTGTCATTTCTTGCTTGGCGTGTGTTAAGGGGTCGCTTGCCCACTGATGATGCCATGGCTAGATTTGGGCGCCTAATTGTTTCCAGATTTTGGTGCTGCAATAACCCTGTTAGGGAAACTATTGATCACATCTTTTGTGCGGGGGACACTGTTAGGGCTGTATGGGGATTTTTTATGGGATCACTCGGCTTGCGATTCAGTCATCGGGGTCTACGGACGCTCTTGACTGGGTGGAAGCGGGTGATTTCACATAATCGTCTTGTTGCTTTTGTTATTTGCAGGTTGCATTATCTTATCCTTTGGGAGTTATGGAAGCACAGGAACACATGCTTACATGGCAGATGGCCGCCGAGTGTACCTAGAGTGGTGTATGGTGTTGCCTATACAGATGGGATCCCCCTCCGGATGGTCCTATAAAGCTCAATTTTTCATATTCTGAGTCGTTGGGTGGGACTGCTGCCTTGGTACGTAATCGGGGAGTGGTGGCTGCTACAGCCTAGCCATTTCGGCAGTCAACGGGTTTCAAGATTTTTTCCATGGTATGCACCGCTCTATTGAATGGTGTTTAGCCGAGGGTTTTAGGTCCCTGGTCTTAGAGTCTATATTGCCTGAGCTTAAGGGTTATGTAGACCCCACCGCACCTAGTCCATGGGTCTATGACTTCGAAGTGTCATGACTCCGGTTTCTTTGTTCTTGTGCATCTGTTTCTGTTCTTCAGTGTTTGCCGCAGGGTAACCTCCCGGTGGCTGCATTAGCAGATTGGGTTGGGGATAAGGATGGGGAGTTTATTTTTCGTAATTTGTCAGACTTACCGCCGAGGGTGCGTGCGTTGCTTGTTCATGATGAAATCCCATCGGTGGTTTTTGATGATTATGACCCGCCTTGAACTATGGTTTTGCTTTTGATGAATTGTATAAGATTTTAAAACAAAAAAAAAAAGAAAGAAAAAGAGAAAGTGAGGAAAAGGGAAAAGGCACTTATAAAGAAAAATTGAAATGAAGGGAAAGTACTATTTAGAGGCAATGATGGTTTGGCTTTGTGCCAAGCATAGCCTCAACAACGTAGGTGTCAGCGGTAAAAGAGGCACCCTAGTCCGGGCTGAACGGTGGCCGGGCAGGATCTATCATATCCGTTGACCTAGTCAGGTTTGCTGCTGGCCCATAGTAGCTAATCCCGTTAGGGTTTTGGTTACTGTTCGTTGCTGGTGCTGAGAGGAGATTGGCTGGCCTGTATTTTGTGTGGGCCTACGTGCCTGTATTTTTGGCCTGCGAGCCGCGTTTATATTTTCCTTATTTATCTTTCATTTATTTATTTAGCGGAGATATTCCTAGACTTGTACCATTTCTTCATGTTTTATTGTTTTCTGTTGGGCTAGTTGAGTAGTTGGCCTTACCGGCATAGGGCGTAGGGGGCTTTCCAATACTGGGGGTTTTCTCTTTCTGCTCTGTGCTCTCTGTGCCTTCTTGCTTCTATCTGTGGCTGTGTGTTTCGCGGGATTTGATTCCTGTGTTTCATGCATAGCATACACTCTGAGGTGGGAGTGCTCTCTTAGTAATATTTTGCTTGAGTTGGTGATTAGAAGAAAAAGGCTGGTTGTTCTATAAAGGCTTGGGTGGGTGTGAGGTGGGTTTCTGGTGCTTAGCATATATACTATTGCTTCTGTGGATGGCTGTACAGGTTCCCTAGGTTAAAATACAGTACGCTGTACCGAGGGAGCTGGTCTAACGCTTAAGAGTGGTATATATGTTGGCACCAGTGGTTAGGGAGCCATCGCTTGGGACTTTGGACCATTGAAGTTCTTTGCGATAAAATGCAGAGCTCTGTACGTACGAGGGTGGCCTGGGTTCCAAGGGTGGGTGGAGGTGAGAACCATTGCTCATGTGGCAGACTATTCACGGCCCCCCCGGATAAAAATGCAGAGATTTGAATCAGAGGGGATCTGTCCAACGCATGAGGGTGGTCGAATTTTGGGAGGCTGGTTTCATTGCTTCTGTGGATGGTCGCATAGGTCCCCTCGGATAAAAATGCAGAGCTCTGTACCGCGGGGGATCGACCTGACGCTTGAGGGTGAAACTAGTCCTTCTTTGGCTTTGGAGCACCGCTCCCACCCTTTGTGTAGGGCATGACGCCCAGGAATTGTCCAGCTCTGCATGTGGTACAGGTGGTTTGTAGAATGGGTGTTGGGCCCACTTGGTGGTTTAGACTTTATCTCCTTTATTAGTTAGCCTTAGGTCTCTTTGCTTTATTCTTTTATCTCTTTGTAGCCTTGGTCACTTTTGGGCCTTGGCAAGACTTTGTTTTGGTTTTTTAATAAGAGTTCTTCTTTTTTAAAATATATATATATATATACAGAATATATCTACCAGAACCACAAAAATCTAAAAATTGACCATGGTGTACTGTGGACTTTGAATCAATACACAAATTTTGATTTCATAATATATAGAATTCTAGGGTGTTAGCGAACATAGCTTTCGACAAACTACTCGTGTTCGTATTCGGTAAACGTTCGTTTATGTTCGTTTGTTAAGATAAACGAACATTAACAAACAAAATTTAGAGTTCGGTTAATAAATGAACAGAGCTTGAACAATTGTGAGCTCGTTTACTAAGAGATCGTGCACAAGCTTGTTTGTATTTGTTTAATAATGTTCGCAAACAAGCTCGTTTATGTTCGTTTAATAATGTTTGCGAATAAACTCGTTTAATGTTTGTTTAATAATGTTCACGAAAAATGTTAATAAACACACATATATATGTATATGGGTAATAAAATAATTTTATTGTCTTAGGTTTTTAACTCATCCAGTCCTCATAAGTCGCAGCAATCCTCATTCCTCCATTCTGCCAATTCCTCCCTACTCTTCAAGGCTCAAGCTGCACCAAAAAAAAAAAAAAAAAAAAAAATTTAGGGTGTGTTTGGTTCGCACATAGGAATCGGAATTGGAATGGGTATCAAATACTTGGTAATGGTAATGGGTTTTGGTGAAAGTATTTAACATGTTTGGTAGTAGGGTGGAATGAGAATGGTTACTAATAGTAGTGTTTGAGAATGAATAAGGGAATGAAACCCTTATTTCATTTGGGTATGAGTTTTTCAATTGATGGGGTATTCGAAACCCATAGTAGTGTTCTAAAAACCTATCAACCAAACAGCAACAATCACTTTCATACCCATTCCTATGTGCAAAACCCACCAACCAAACACACCCTTACTCTTCTGGCAGACAGCAGACCGCCGGCGACGTCCACGTGAAGCCACGTCCTCCGCCGCAGCAGACCGCAGCCTCCACCACCGCCGGCGACTTCTACGTACCTAGCACCGTGAAGCAGACCGCCGCAGCAGACCGAAGCCACGTCCACCATGGCCGAACCCACGTCCACCATGGCCGAACCCACCACGTACCTAGTATTCTCCATGAGGATCTGAACTCTTTTACTTTTATTTATTTATTTATGTAATTTTGTTTTTCTATTCTGCCCTTTCTTCTTTGTTAGTTTTTCATCTCAATTTCTAGTTCCTGTGTACACAATTTCTAGTTTACTTGATTCTCTCATTCACTTAAGCATATTCCTTTTTCGTTCCTGTAATTTGAAGGGTTAGGGTTCATTATTTTTGAAGGGAATCACAAATCAGTAGTGGAGGAAACTGAGGGAGTCAACAACATTAACTGGGTATGAGTTTGTGTAAAAGAGTATGTATGTGAAGTATTGTTGTTTGTTTTCTGGATCTGAAGCTAAAAAGGAGTAATCTCTTTGTTTGTGTCTGTGTGTGTATTACTCTTTATATATAATATATCAAGTAGCATACATATATACTTGTGATTATAGGTATATGTGTGTGATTATATAATTGATTTTGGGATTTCTGACTTTTCTACAAATGTATATGAAGCAGCACAATGAGGTGGAGCTATCTGGTCTTGGAATTCATGTTTATAATACACAAAATTCATGTTTATAATTCACATAAACACGATATAATAAACATGAATTTTGCGCATTATAAACATGAATTCGATGTATTATATAGTTGAGAACACATAAACACTTAACACAATAAACTGAATTCATGTTTATAATGCACAAAATTCATGTTTGTTATATCGTGTTTATGTGTATGTGTATTATAAATATGAATTACATTACGAACACAAATTTTGTGCATTATAAATATAAATTATGTGTATTGAGCCAGAATCCATAGTGTACTGTGGCCCCTAGTGCATGATATAATGATTGATCAGGGGACAAAGTTCAATACAGAGAGTTAGCCTGAACTCTAAGAGCATCGTTAGCCGTGCTTACAATTTGTTCTCAACAAAATAGAGAAAATCTTTATTAAAAACAAAAGAAAACAAAAAAGATGGGCTCGGATACGTGACTATAGTTTTCTCCTTTTCTCATACATCACCTGACCCAAATTACAAAACCACCAATCATTATTGTGTGGACCATGATCCACACAAATTGTGTGGACTATATTTTGTATATTGTTAAATAATGTACATTCAGTACAAAAATAATGTACATTCAATACAAAAATAATGTAAATTGTATTAAAGGGATGTACATTAGTTTTGTACTGAGTATACATTATATTGTATAATGCAAATTCAATACAAAAATAATATACATTTAATATATTAAAAATGTACGTTTTGTTATGGTCCACGTAATAATGTGTGGACCATGGTCCATAATTTGCCCAAAACCACTAACTCCTACTCTGAAAAATAGCGCGAGGGTTCTTCGCAAAATCTTTTGGTGCGATTTCTCTCTACGTTAGCTTGCGAACTACATCGCCGTCTCGGACATGGGAAAGAAGAAGGCAAACAAGGCTAATGGCGATGGCCAATACTCTTCCCCCACCGTCTTCATTTCTAACTTGCCTTTCTCCTTTAGCAACACTGAGGTAGCTTCTATCATCCAACAATACAGTAGATATTTGTGTATATGCGTACATATATTTATATCTCAATTTGTTCAACTTCTACTTTTGTTTTGGTGATAAAACAGCTAGAACAAACGTTCAGTGAAGTTGGCCCCATCAGAAGATGCTTTTTAGTAACAAAAAAAGGTGAATGCTCGAATAATTATACCTTAACTTCTGGAATGTGTATCGATGATGTGTTGTTAATTGTTATGATTTCTGAACACGAAGCATATTCCTGATATAATTTATTTCATTTAGTCCTCTACATGTTATTCCTTCTGATTCAGTCAGTTTGCATCGAGCATTGTCACTCCTTATTTGCTAAATTTTGTTAACCTTTTTAGTAACAAAAAAATGTGAATGCTCGAATAATTATGCCTAAACTTCTGGAAAGTGTATTGCTGATGTGTTGTTATGATTTTTGAACGCGAAGCAGATTTCTGATATAATTTATTTCATTTAATCCTCTACATGTTATTCATTCTGATTCAGTTTGCATTGAGCATTGTCACTCCTTATATACTAAATTTTGTTGACCTTTTTAGTAACAAAAAAAGGTGAATGCTCGAATAATTATACCTAAACTTCTGGAATGTGTATTGCTGATGTGTTGTTATGATTTCTGACCACGAAGCATATTTCTGATATAATTTATTTCATTTAATCCTCTACATGTTATTCCTTCTGATTCAGTTTGCATTGAGCATTGTCACTCCTTATCTGCTAAAATTTGTTGACCTTTTTACTTTTCAGGGTCTACTGAACACCGAGGTTTTGGCTTTGTGCAATTGTAAGCTCTTACCATTTTGCTACTGGTGTAATTCAGTAATTGCTATTACATGATTAAGTGCATCTGGAAATCCCCTAATTAACAGTTGAAGTTTGATTTCAACTAATGTTTTGGTTTTTGTTTGCAATTATAGTGCCTCAGTTGAAGACGCTGGTCGTGCTATTGAACTCAAAAATGGCTCAACAGTTGGAGGGAGAAAACTTGGTGTCAAGCATGCAATGCATCGGGCTCCTCTTGAACAACGTCAATCAAAGGGAAGTCAAGGTTTGTGGTATATGTATCATAGATTGAATTATTTCATGTTGTATTAAATTTTAAGATTGATAATAAAATAAAAGGAAATTTGAACTTTCTGGATGTTTATATTTGATGCAGACAAGGCTTCTCAGGAAAGGGATGGGGATGGCCCTTTGCCTGTTGAAATAGTCAAGCATGAACAAGATTCAAACTCTCAAGGAACAGGTTTGCAACTATGACATGCTACTTAATGTCATCAAATATTACTATGGAGTAGTATTTATTATTTGACACTGTTGAGAGTATAGGTAACCCCAGAAAAAGGAAAGCTACAGTACTTTGCAGTGGTATGCCCGATGAAAAGAATTGTTCAGAAAAGCAGAGGTATTGACTACTGAAGTTCTAACTCGATGCTGAAATTGAGTAGAAGCATTGTTGTTTGATGTAGATTGTGAAATGTTTTTCGATATTTTTGTTCTTATCTAACTTTTATCTCCTGTGATGTCCCTCATTTTATACAGGGTTGCTAGGACAGTCATAATTGGAGGTATTCTTAGTGCGAATATGGCAGCAGAAGTTCACCGTCTTGCCAAAGTGTGTGGCACAGTATGTTCTGTTACTTATCCTCTTCCCGAAGGAGAGCTTGAATATAATGGTAATAATATTTGCATATTCTTCTTTCAGTTGTTGAGCATTTCATGTTCAATATTTATCTGACCAATCAATGTCAGTTATCAGAACTAAACATTATTTTAATTCTCAAGTAATCTGCTATTCATTTTTGAGTTAGGCTCTTACACTTCTGCAAATTTTTGTGTGAATTAGGGCTGGCTCAAGATGGTTGTAAAATGGGTGCTTCATCAGTGCTTTATACTAGTGTAAAATCAGCTCAAAGTTGTGTTGCAACCTTACATCAAAAAGAAATACATGGCGGGATTATTTGGGTGCGCCAACTTGGTGGAGAGGTAAAGTTGCCATTTTAGTGAACATTGATTCAGAATATTTTCCGTAATCATACTCCACAAATTTGAATTGGGTGGCTTTGAAAAATTATAATTTTTTAGCTTCAATCTCTTGTTCACTTTTTTTTTTTCCTGGGTGCATTCTCTTTGGTGTTTTTAGCTCCCATCTCCCTCTCCCTCTCCCTCTCTTCCTGAGCATAGCAGTTATGATTATATTAGAAAATAGAAAATCAGAATGTTAATAACGCACCCTTTCCTACTACTCCAATTAGTTGATTAGTAGATTTTTTATTATGTTCTTCCGTGATTGACTGCTTCATACTTCATTCCTTTCCTCGGGTGTTGATTGCCTTGCTTATGTGGCACTTAAGTGATTATTAGACCTCTTTCTAACTATTTTAGCTGTTTCCCAGATTATCTATGTTGTCAGAATATATATGCCGAGGGAATCTGATCTTTTTCTTTTGATTTCTTTATTTGATGCTAGGGTTCCAAGACTAATAAATGGAAACTAATAGTGAGGAATATTCCTTTCAAGGTTACTTTTCCTCTAGATTTTATTATATTTCTATATGTTGTGTGAGGATTAGGAAAGAAACTTTTGAATTTGTTAAAAACTGAATGCAGGCCACAGTGGATGAGATAAAGAGTATGTTTTCAACTGTTGGCTTTTTATGGGATGTATATATTCCTCAAAATGCAGAGACAGGGTATAAGTCAATGAATTAATATTTTATAACCTCTTCTTTCATATTTCTTTTCATTGTTTATCGTATTATCATTAACCTTGATTGCATTTGCATGGCATTTTGCAGTTTGTCTAAGGGATTTGCATTTGTTAAATTTACATCCAAGCAAGATGCAGAAAAGGTACTAATTCTATTTGATATCTTTTCTTTACCATATGTAAAGTTGAGGACCTTTGTTTTTAGGTCTATGTAATTATAAAATTAAATAAGTGTCAGACTCCACAAAGTGGGAGAGAGGTGTCTGTAACACCAACCTAAGACAAAAGGAGACAAATTAGGGATGTTAAAAGTGTGAAGTCTTTTGATACATGTATTTTGAAATATGTTTTAATTTGGGAAAATAAGACAAGTTCACTCTTAATAATATTAAAAGTACAATTATCTTTTATGCTTGGGTTACTTTTATCCATTTGTAATTAGAGGAGTAGTCCGGTGTCCACATTTTATTAAATACTTTTATAGCTCACTTCTTTCTTTCATATTATACTGGGGTTATTAATAAAAAATAGTACTCTGTATAAATTTCAACCAAGAACAAAAGAAAAATAATATAAACTAGTATAAAAGAATTTTATCCTCTCAAAATTCGTGAAAGGCTACATCTGTGCCTTGCAATATGTAATCTTCTGTTCACTGAATGGCTTAAACTCATCTTCTCCTTTGCCTTACCCTAATAGCCTCACCTTAGGTCAAGCACTCAATCTGATTTTTTTTTTAATAATTATTATCACTGTTTCAATTTTTATTTATTTTTAATGTATTTGTCTTATTTTCTCTTAATATTTGGATGTGCAGGCTATTAAGACTTTCAATGGAAAAACTTTTGGTAAAAGGCCTATTGCTGTTGATTGGGTTGTACCAAAAAAGGTTTATGTTGCCGATAGTCAATCTACTCCAGCTTCAGAAAATGGTAAAAAGTGATCTTTTGAAGAATTCTGTAGTCGTAAAATGTTTTATATTATTTTCTGAGCATATTATGCCTCCTATTTAGTTGCATATGGGAACCATAGTTTGAGTTAGAAAAGATAATATCATTTTATGAATGTTTGCTTCAATCAAAAGGGAAATACTTTGTTTTTGGGTTTTGTGAACAGGTTTGCATCCCTCTGGTACAATAGGCATATATTTATCTACCTTATATGCATCTCCTCGGATTGTCATAGAAGAGCATTAATAGTAAATTAGATTAAGATCTTCCATATTTGAGCATTAATAGTAAATTAGATTAAGATCTTCCATATTTGAGCATTAATAGTAAATTAGATTAAGATCTTCCATATTTCTTTTTGTAATGGAAACTCGTGAACTCAAATAAAAAAGGCAATATATTATAGGTGGCATGTTTAGAGTTAGGCACCCAATATTAGTATTTAAAAATGAAGTAGATAGATTTGTTGGTAGGTGGTTGAGAGCCTTGAGGCCAATGTTATGGTTGTCCGAATTGGTCCATCTCTATCTATGGAAGTAATTTGTACTGGATATCATACTATATCTAAAGAGAATCAGTTTATTCACTTTATAGTTTCTACCACATGGATACTATATATGAGATCATACATTTGGGCAATTGCCGCGTTCTGTTTAGTCACTGTGAACTTCATTCAGTACTATGCTACTAAGCATCACTTGATGATTCTGAGGGCATACCTGAAGAGTTTCCTTCTCTTATTGGACATGCTATTCGTTATGTCTCACGTGTGGTAAGGTTCAAATTCTAACTTGTGATTCTTACAGTTCAGAACGAAAGTGACGGAGATGATGATGAAAGTGTTGATTTGGAAGATCAGGAAATGGAGATTGACGGAGAATCCCAACAAGCTCTTGGGAGCGACAGTGCCTCTGAATTAGAAGAAGCAGAAGAAGATGAGGATGCAGATGATGATGATGATGATGATAAGGACACCCAGCTCAAAGTTAATATTGATATGGAAGCAGACATTGCAAGGAAAGTTCTTAAAAATTTAATTTCGTCTACTTCTAAGGGAACAGTTGCTTCTGCCAATGAATCTTCCAGCTTGCCCAAGGGAGAGAAGAGTGAAGTTAATAGTGTACATGACAAATCCTCTGATGCATCTCATGTGGGTGAAACACCACCAGAAGGTTCTAGTAAGAGTAAGGAGAAAACCTCCAGGCAGACTGAAGGAGCAGATGATCTGCGGCGAACAATTTTCATTAACAATCTTCCTTTTGATGTTGATAATGAAGAAGTGAAACAGCGTTTTTCTGCATTTGGTGAAGTGGAGTCCTTTGTTCAAGTTCTTCACCAAGTCACCAAGTATGGGCGGGCTTGTTGGATGATGCATCTATACTTTGTTAATTTCTGGTTGCATTAAATGACTCACTGTACATATATGCAGGCGACCCAGAGGGACTGGGTTTCTGAAATTTAAAACCGTAGATGCTGCTGAAGCTGCACTTTTGGCTGCCAACACAGCAGCTGGTTTGGGTATATTTCTGAAGGGTAGGCAATTAAAGGTTTTAAAGGCTGTTGACAGAAAAACAGCTCAGGACAAGGAGTTGGAGAAAACCAAAAAGGATGATCATGACCATCGCAACCTTTACCTTGCCAAGGTTCATTCAGTTTCTTCTCTTGCAACGCTGTCTAGGCAGTTAGCACTCAAACAATTTTTAAAAATCTTGATTACAATCTCTTTTATGACAGGAAGGACTTGTTTTGGAGGGAACTCCTGCTGCTGAGGGTGTTTCGGCAAATGATATGTCTAAGCGCAAGATGTAAGACCAATTGTTTCTTGTTGCACATCTCTGAATATTTCACTATTGAACATGGCATTAGCTGAAGTCATCAGTTAATATAAATTGAAATCTAATTAATACCATGATGACCTTTTCATGCTGCTATGTTCAAAATATTGTCTCTGTTATGGTGTTTGCTAGATCAAGTTGTTCGACTTCCGCTTCTATCAAAATTCTTAGCTGTTGCTCATGAGTCATGATAGGTAATCCATAGGCTAGTTTCAGTGATATCCTAATTACTTTTGGCAACAGTCTTGGAATAATTAAAATCGTGGTAATACTTCAGAATCATTGCATGATGATGTTACAGTGGGGAATCCTCTAATCCCATAAGAAGCATTTCTTTTTCCCCTTTCTTCTTCTGGAGTTGCCTTTGTTGAGTTCACGGAGCACCAACATGCACTTGTAGCTCTGAGAGTTGTTAATAATAATCCTGGTAATGTGCCTGTATTACAGTAAATATTGTTTTTGGTGACTGCATTTTCTTAACTTGTCCGTTAGGGAGAGAATCTGGGCTGCAGAAAATGAATATATTATGATGTCTTCCAGGAACTTTTGGCCCTGAACATCGTCCGATTGTAGAGTTTGCTGTTGATAATGTGAAGAAACTTATGCACCGTAAAGAGAAGATTCTTCAAGTCCAGCAGAATGATTCTCATCATAAAACAGATAATTCATGGCAAAACGGTCCTGCTAACTCTAGAGGGGATGCGTCATCAATTTCTGTAAGTGAGAACAGTGAAGTGAAAACAGGTGCCAAGGGAGCAATTGCTGAAACAGCCAGACCTAAAAAGAAGCAGAAAACAAAGAAAATGTTGATAAGCTCAAAACAGGAGCTAATAGAGAAGTTTGCTGACATTGGATCTCAACCAACTAAAAGTGCCTCAAGCAATGCCCCTATCAAAGATGGGGCTATGAGATCAAAAGCAAGATCGGAAGATGAGACCACCCAAGAGATACAAAGAAACAGTTTGAAGAGAGCAAAAAAGGGTAAAAAGAACAAAGACCCTTTGGGACGCGATGTGGTAGACAAACTTGATGTGCTTATTGAACAATACAGGTCTAAATTCTCAAAGGCTAGTTCTGACCAAACTGATGGTAACAAACATGGTTCTAAACGGCTCAGGAGGTGGTTCCAATCATAATTGTCTTTTTAAGTTCCTGTTGTTCGGTTTTTTCTACTTGAAGCTTTCTTTTGTATTTATGGCAGTTACAAATGCTGTCAACGGTCACAACACAATGGCGGTTTTTGGGTAGTTTAGATTTTTCCTAGTGCCGCCACTCAAGCAAATACCTATGACTGGATATCCATGAGGCATCCTGACTAGTTAAGTACTACTTACACTAGCTGTGGGGGTTTTCCCAGAATATAATGTAGGATTCATATATACCTGTAGCTTGTTAACACATGTCCGATTTGGCCGAGTTAAATCATACAAGTACACATTTGTATCATCACTTCCAGCAACTTCCAATACAATAACAGAAGGGGAGTTTTAGTGGGACATTTAGTAAAATGATTCTCAAAGAAATCCAATAAAGCAAAGCACCATACTCTCAGAATGTCACAATTGCATTAAGATTCAAGGAACAACATTAATGTCCAATTACAGGATGAAATCGTATACATAGTTGTGATGACACACCATATATCACCCTAATGCAAAGGCCTTTGGAAATATCCCATACTCTAACAGTTTTATCCATTGAAGATGAGGCAATATATTGGTCATTTGCCGAGAAGTCAAAATCTGAAACAGGTGTGAGAATTTAGAACATGGGAATAATAACTTCATATATATTATTAAGCTTTTCATTTTGATGTACTGGTTTCCCACAAAGCAACACCATTCAGTGAAGTCACATAAGATAAATGCACACATAATTGAACTTCATTAAAAAAAAAAACGCATATGGTGACATATTACTTTTGAAACAATTCCTTTCTAGAGGTTATTGAACAATTTCTCTTGTAGCACGTGCATTTATACTGGGTTTTCGTCTTCAGAACGATTTTGGAGTAACTGTGATTGTTTATTGTGTTTAGTTTTCTATGGATTTAAATCTTTTGCACCAACTGGTCTTCCACGCTTCTGGCGTTGGGTAGTGTCAGTACTAGTATTTGGTCCTTTGGGGACAACTATTCTTGATGGATCATTTTCTACAGGAATATAGGACCTAGTTACTCATTTATAATCAGTAAACGCATCTGGCAGATTATTTGCTAGTCTTTGCAAATTTATTATTTTCTGAACTTCAAGTTCAGTTTGATTAGTACGTGGGTCAAGATATTGAAGATCTTTTTCATCCCATGGGCTCGAGGTATTTAATGATAGAAGGTGATTCATACCCAACATAAATACCTAACCGACATTGCAGGTCCATCAAAGTACGATGTGGAGGTGGTATAGGTATGTAAACCGTACAGCCAAAGACACGGAAATGAAAAATGTCTGGCTCATTACCACGTACAAGTTGTAGAAGGGGGTAATCGTGATATCCAGTTGGCTGGAGTTGGATTAGAATTGTAGCATGCAACACTGCGTATCCCCAACAAGTGACAGGTAGATTGGACCGTTGCAGTAATGGTCTAGCTATTAGTTTAATTCTTTTGATAAGAGATTAAGCTAAACCATTCTGTGTGTGGACGTATGGTACATGATGTTCCACCTTAATTCCCATGGCCATACAATAATCGTCAACGCTGACGAGGTGAATTCACCAGCACTATCCATTCTTATGTTCTTAATAGGATAATCGGGAAATTGGGCATTCAACCTAATGATTTGGCTCATGAATTTTGCGAATGTCATATTTCGAGTGGACAACAGGCACACATGTGTCCATTGGGTGGAAGCATCAATAAGGACCATGAAATATCGGAATGGTCTGGATGGAGGATGAATTGGTCCACAAATATCACCCTGTAGCCTCTACAGGAAGACATGTGACTCAAAATCAATCTTAGGATGCGTGGGCCGAACAATAAGTTTTCCATGTGCACATGGAACACATGTGTAATCTTTTGTAGAAAGAATGTTTGTCCTAAGAAAGTTATGTCCAGATGTATTTGAAAGTATCCGGCCTATCATAGTTTGTCCAGGGTGACCTAAGCGGTCATGCCTTAGACTAAAAGAATGTGTATTTTTTAATTTCACTGCGAGTGCAACGTAGGAGAGTTGGGGCCTGATATAGGAATAATACATGCCTGAAAAAAATGAAGGAAGTTCTTCGATTTCCTTGTTCTAGTTATTGACTATTTTGGTCAAAACAAGGAATTCGGTATTGTTTTTAGTTTCGGTTTCTATGTGAAAACCATTGGACCAAATATTCTTGAAACTAAGCAAAGTTCTTTTTTGATTGATGGTATAGGAGGGCTATGTCAATTATCAACTTTGTTCCATTAGGAAGAATAAGTGAAGCTCTGCCGGAGCCCACAATAGGAATGTCATCATTCGCTATGGTTGAAAGGTTGCCTTTGTGTTCGTTGAACGTTTGGAAAAATCTTCGGTCTGTCAAAATAGTGTGCGTAGTTGCACAATAAACCAAGCATAGGGTTAATTCGTCTCCCATATCTCTAAAGAAAAAGAATGGGTATCAAGATAATGTGTTAGAAGGATCCGTTGTATTTATTCAATTAGAACAAAAGTGTTCAATTTTCAAAAAAAAGAACAAAAGTGTTCAAAAAGGATCCATTATTCATATAGGATAAAAGAGTTCAAATATAAACATGCTCGCAGACATTTAGTAATAAAGTGGATGTCTATAAAGGAGAGCGAAAAAATAGGAGTATCACTCGATCTCCATAATTAGCTAGTTATTCGCCTAGCAGGTTATCATTCCCCAAGATGAGGGCATTTGCTTAAGGCAAAGATGATTGCCCAGAACCTTTTTTCTTTTGTCCATCTTCCTGCTGGAGCATCTTTTGGTAAGCCTCAACCAGGTGCTTTGCAGTCCTGCATGTCCTAGACCAATGCCCTTTGCAACCACATTTATGACATGACTGCGACTGACCGGAGTTCTGTTACGGCTTGCTTGGTCTATTTCTTTGAGTTTGATTGGGTTGCTTGTTCTGAGGACGAGAGTCTCTGCTGCTAGCTTCCCCCTCTACCACCTCTCTTTGGGCCTCTACCTCGACCTCTCCCCCTTCCCTGGCCTCGACCCCGTCGATTGTTGCTTTGCTGGGCAACAGTGTGTGCTTCAGGCACAGGTGCAGCGCCAGCTGGATGCGCATTGTGATTACGCATCAATAACTGGTTATGCTTTTTCAGCCACTAGTAAAGCCGTAATGAGCTCTGAATGCATGGTATAATTTTGAGTCTAGTACTGCTGCTAGAGCACAAAGTTATTTGCATGGAACGTGGATAGAGTTTTTTCAATTAGATACTCGTCTGTGATTATCTGCTTACAGATCTTCAGTTGTGACACAATTTTGTGTAGGGCAGAGTTGTATTCAGTCACAGACTTAAAGTCTTGAAATCGAAGGTTAAGCCAATCATATTGGGCCTGGGGGCGGACCAATGACGTCTGTTGGTCAAAGCGATCCTTAAGAGATTTCCAGAGGACATAAGGGTTTTTTTCTGTTAAGTATTCATTCTTGAGATCATGGTTAATGTGGTGACGGAGGAAAATAAGCGCTTTAGCCTTCTGGACCGCAATACTCGTATTTGTCTCATTAATGGTGTCCAACAATTCTGTAGATTGGAGATATATCTCAACATCAAACGCCCAAGTGAGAAAATTGCTTCCATCGAGGGCGAGTTTAGCGAATTCTCATTTTGCGAGAGCAGTCATTTCTACAGAAATTTTTTGAATGAGGACCATAGAAATAGAATGTGAGACCTATTTAAATAAACTAAGGCCCAAAGAAATATATCACAAAAAATGGTCCAACAAAATAGGGCTTGAATAAGGATAAATAAAATAGCACATGAATAAATGGTCCAAATTAAAACAATGGCTCAAATAAATAATATGCAAATATTAGAGGGTTTAATAGAAAACCCTAGGCCAAAGTTATAAGGAATAATGTCCGTTAGTCATATATTTTGTAACAAATGCTACTGAAATATGTTTACAATTAATTTGTGGTTGGGTTGGCCATTGATTTGTTATCCATTAGAAATGTAGATTGTTATGTTAACAATCCAAATTTAGGCGATTAGGTGTGAAACTATAGGTTGCTACCAAAACTTTATTTGTTTTCATTTTTAAAAATTAATTATCACTAATTTTTAAATTTTTTAATAGTTACCTTTTAACTTTTTAAATTGATTTAGGTAGGTGGATTATAAATTTATAACGCCAAATATGAAAGTAATATTATATTTAAATTAATAAGAGAATGCAACACCATCAGCGCATCTGGTGTAGTGGTATCATAGTACCCTCCCACGGTACTGACCAGGGTTCGATTCCCTGGATGCGCATTTTCAGTTTTTCAACGCTAGTTTGTTCAGGTTTCAGACATTAGAATAGTATATGTATATCACTTTGTAAATGCCAATAAGTCCAATATACGCTAGTTTCTGTTCAGGTTTCAGACATTAGAATAGTATATGTATATCACTTTGTAAATTTCTACCAAAAAAAAATATCACTTTGTAAATGCCAATAAGTCCAATATATTATCAAAGCAAAGTAGTCTTATGAACTGATGGGCATTTTACTATTGTATTGCCAATAAGTCCAATATATTATCAAAGCCAAGGTAAATTATGTTGTGGAAACGTGTTCACCATGCGCATGGGGAACACAGGGGTAGATTCATAATTTTTATATTGTAGATTCATAATTTTTTTTTTTTTTTTTTTGAAAACGTAGATTCATAATTTTGTTTTTTTTTTTTTTTTTTCATTTGTTGTTACAGATATTATGAATCTACAGTATAGAAATTATGAATCTATAATACAAAAACAAATTGCACTTTTGGTCCTGTGAGTATTAGGGTACTGACAATTTGAGTACGTGACTTTCAAAACTCCCAATTTAAACCTTTAACTATGCAATTATTGACAGATTTGGTCCTCCGGACCAAATTGCCGGTCAATTTTGGCCGAAAAAACATAAATTGGTTCAAATTATTTTTTGACGAGGGTAAAATTGTCATTTCACTCCATTCTTCTTCATTCTCCCTTTCTTCTTCGTTCTTCTTCTTCTTCGCTCAGCATAGGAGTCATGTTTCCACAAGCATAAAACAGACAGTGATACATAGGCAAGGGATAACTTCAAACCTCACAAATGCGAACCAAATTTCAA